AGGTTGCCTATGTTTGTGATTCATTGTTTTAGATATTTGGGGGCTCCAGAATTTGGTGCACAGACATTTAAAATTGTTAGCTCTTCCTGATGGGTAGACCCTATAATTATTATATAATGCCCTTCTTCATCTCGTTACAACCTTTAATTTAAAGTCTAGTTTGTCTGATATAAGTGTGGCTACTCCACCTTTCTTTTGACTTCTGGTACTAGGATAGTTCTCCATCTTTCAGTCTCATTTCAATCTGAAGGTGTCCTCAGGCCTAAAATGAGTCTCTTGTAGACAGCAAATAGATGGGTCTTTTTTTTTTTTTTAATCCATTCTGATACCCTATGACTTTTGTTTGGAGCATTTAGTCCATTTACATTCAGTGTTACTATAGAAAGATAGCGTTTAGAGTCATTGTGATGTCTATAGTCTCATGCTTGTAGTGATGTCTCTGGTACTTTGTGGTCGTTGCAACATTTCACTTACGGAATCCCCCTTAGGCTCTCTTGTAGGGCTGGTTTAGTGGTGATGAATTCCTTCAGTTTTTGTTTGTTTGGGAAAGCCTTTCTCTCTCCTTCTATTCTGAATGACAGACTTGCTGGATAAAGGATGCTCGAGGGCACATTTTTTCTCTGCATCACATTGAAGATTTCCTGTCATTCCTTTCTGACCTTCCAAGTTTCAGTAGCTAAGTCTGCTACTAGTCTTATGGGTCTCCCTTTATATGTTAGAGTGTGTTTATCCCTAGCTGCACTCCGAATTTTCTCTTTATCCTTGTATTTGCCAGTGTCGCTATGGTATGTTGTGCAAAAGATCGATTCAAGCTACATCTGGAGAGAGTTCTCTGTGCCTCTTGGATTTCAGTGCCTTTTTCTTTCCCCAGATAAGGGAAGTTCTCAGCTGTGATTTGCGCAAGTACATCTTCAGCCTCTTTTCTCTCTCTTCCTGTTCTGGAATTCCTATTATATGGATATTGGTACGTTTGATAGCATCACCTAGTTCTCTAATTCTCCCCTCATACTCCCGGATTTTTTTCTCTGTCTTTTTGTCAGCTTCCTCTTTTTCCATAATTTTGTCTTCTAATGCACCTATTCTCCCCTCTGCCTCTTCAATCCGGGCTGTGGTTGCCTCCATTTTATTTTGCACCTCATTTATAGCATTTTTTAGCTCCTCCTGACTATTTCTTAGTCCCTTGACCTCTGTAGCAATAGCTTCTCTGCTGTCGTCTATGCTGTTTTCAAGCCCAGTGGTTAATTTTATGACTATGACTTGTTCACTTATTATTCTTGTTCACTTATATAGCTTAAATTGGTTTTGATGAATTCGTTAGCTGTCGTTACTTCCTGGAGTCCTTTGAAGAGAGTTCTTCCGTTTTGTCATTTTGGATAGTCCCGGGAGTGGCACAGAACTGCAGGGCACTTCCCCTGTGTGCTGTGTGGAGTAACTTGTGTTGGTGGGCGGGGCCGCAGTCCGGCCGGATGTCTGACCTCAGCCCACCGCTGGGGCGACAGTCAGACTGGTGTGTACCTTACCTGCCCCTCTCCCAGGGGCAGGACTCACTGTGGAGTGGAGTGGCCCCTGTCTGGGCTACTTGCACACTGCCAGGTTTGTGGTGCTGCTTCAGTGGGATCTGGTGTATTAGCCGGGGTGGATCCGCAAGGTGCATGGGGCACGAGGGGCAGGCTTAGCTCGCTTTGCTGTCAGTGGTCTCCTGCGGGAGGGGCCTTGCAGCACTGGGAGGGAGGCAGGCAGACCCATCGGAGGGATGGATCCACCAAAGCACAGTGTTGGGCATCTGCGAGATGCAAGCAAGTTCGGTGACAGGAACTGGGTTCCCTTTGGGATTTCAGCTGGGGGGTGGGAGAGGGAGATGGCGCTTGCCAGCGCCCTTTGTTCCCATGCCGAGCTGAGCTCTGTCTTCAAGGGCTCAACACCTCTCCCTCCCAGTGTCCTCTCGCCCTCTCTGCTCTCCGAGAGCAGAGCTGTTGACTTTTAACATTCCAGATGTTAAGTGCCACTGGCTGTCAGAACTCACGTAGTCCAGCCCCTCTGCTTTTGTAATCCAGACTCGTGGATTCGTCTTGCCAGGCGGGCTGCCCTCCACTGCCCCGGCTCCTTCCCACCAGTCCGTGTAGTGCGCACCGCCTCTCTGCCCTTCCTACCCTTTTCCGTGGGCCTCTTGTCTACCCTTGGCTCTAGAGAGTCCAATCCGCTAGACTTCTGGTGGTTTTCTGGGTTATTTAAGCAGATGTGGGTGGAGTCTAAGCGATCAGCAGGTCGAGGTAAGCCCAGTGTCCTCCTACATCACCATCTTCCAGTTCTTCCATCTGGGCTCTGTGTTTTGTTCCATTGATCTGTGTGTCTGGTTTTGTGCCAGGACCATACTATCTTGACAATTACAACTTTGTAATAAAGCTTGATGTCCAGAATTGTGATGCCTCCAGCTTTAGCTTTATTTTTTTTTACATTACTTTGGCTGTTTGAAGTCTTTCCTGGTTCCATACAAATTTTAGAATTGTTTGTTATAGCTCTGTGAAGTGTGCTGATACTACTTCAATGGGGACTTCTATGAATATGTAGATTGCTTCGGATAGAATTGACGTTTTAATAGCATTTTTTCTTCCAATCCATGAGCATGGAACCCTTTTCCATTTCTTTGTGTCTTCTTTAATTTCTTTCATAAAGTTTCTATGGTTTTAGAGATACAGATCTTTTACCTCTTCAGTTAATTTTATTCCTCGGTATTTTATGGTTTTTAGTGCAATTATAAATGGCATTCCTTTATTTTTCTTTCTGCTGCTTCATTATCGATGTGTGGTAATGCCATTGATTTTATATCTTACAGCTTTGCTGAATTCATGTGTCAGTTCTAACAGTTTTTTGGTGGAGTCTTTTGGATTTTTCCATGTAGAGTAAAAGAGTGAAGGTTTGAGTTCTTCCTTGCTGATTTTGATGCTTTTTATTTCTTTCTGTTGTCTGATTGATGAGGCTAGGACTTCCAACCCAGTGTTGAACAGCAGTAGTGAGAATGGACATTCCTGTCATGGTCTTGACTGTAGGGGGAAAGGTCTCGTTTTCCCCATTGAGGATATTAGTCTTTTATGATGTTGATATGTGTTCCTTTTATTTTTACTTTCTTGAGGTTTTTTTTTGTTGTTGTTGTTTGTTTGTTTTTTGTTTTTTTGTCAACAAAGGGTGCTGTATTTTGTCAGATGCTTTTTCTGCACCCGTTTAAAGGATCGTCTTGTTCCTATCATTCCTTTTATTAGTATGTTGTATCACGTTGCTTGATTTGTGAGTATGAAACCAATCCTGCAGCCCAGGAATAAATCCACTTGCTAGTGGGGAATAATTTTTTAAATCTGTTGTTGCATTTGGTTTTCTAGTATCTTGAGAATTTTTGCATCTATATTTACCAGGGAAATTGGTCTGTAGTTCTCCCTTTCCATGGGATGGTGTTTGTTTTTCTGTATCTTACTTCACTACAGTTATGCTGTCAAGATCCATCTTTGTTGTCAGAAATGGCATAATTCTCTCTTTTTTATTGATAAATAATATTCCATTGTTTCTGTATTATTATTTTTTTAAACTCTATTTATATCTCTATATACTGATCTTACCTGTGTGTCGGTCATACCTATCTTACCTGTCTGTGTAAGCTAATCTATCACGTTTTCTCTATACATTTTTCTGTTCATTGACACGTAAGTTGTTTCCATGTCATGGCTACTGTAGACAGTCCTGCAAACAGCAGGTGCACATATTTCTCTGATGTAGTGATTTTATTTTTTTCTTTCAACTATATCCTTAGAAGTGGAATTGCTGAATTGTATGTTAGTTCCGTTTTTAATTTTATGAGGAACAACTTCCCTTTTGGATTTTCTATTTCCCTAACTAATGATGTTTTATACAGTTTTCATGTAGTTGGTCATTCACATATCTTGTTTGGAAGAATGACTGTCCAGGCCCTATGCCTATTTTCATTTGGATTTATTTTGGATTTTTTTTTTCCTGTTGAGTAGTTATGAGTACTGCATGTATTTGTATATTACTCCTTATTAGATAGATGGGTTTGCAAGTATTTCCTGCCATTCTATAGGTTACCTTTAATTTTCTTGAAAGGAAGAATGAATACATTTATTTACTTTCCTGCACAAAACCTTCCATTATGATCTGGTCTCACCTGTTTGTTTTTTGTTTATTTATTTCTGAAGTTTATTTTAATTCAACTTAGTTAAAATAGTATAGTATTGGTTTCAGGAGTAGAATTCAGTGAATGATCACTTACGTATAACACCCATAGCTCACCCTGACAGTTGCCACCTTTACTGCCCATCGTCTAGTTAGCCCATGCCCCCACCCTACCTCCCCCAACAAACAAACCCCCAGTTTGTTCTCTGTATTTAAGAGTCTCTTACGGTGTGTCTCCCTGTCTGTTTTGATCTTATTTTTCCTTCCCTTCCTCTGTGTTCATCCTTTGGGTTCGTAAACGCCAAATCATATATTTTGGTATCATATCCAAAAAGTTGTTGTCAAGACCAGTGTCATGGAGTTTTCCCCTTATGCTTGAAACTTCAGATTTCACCTTTAATATTTAATTAATTTAAAGTTAATATTTTGAACGGTCTCCAATAGGAGAACAATTTTGTAATCTTTATTGTTACTTCTTTCAGTTTGGAAAGAAGCAGTTGGGAAATTGTTTACCCACTTTTAGTACCTTGATTATGAGTGGTGATAACACAAATATTTTTTCTGGTTTTTAAATATCTAATGTATTGTTGGTTCTAAAGTGGAAAGTATGTTTATTTATTGTGGAAACAGCCAATGCTGTTTTTTTTCTGTTAATGTCTGCCACTTTTAGCTCTATTTTGACCTCAACAGGACTCGTTTCAATTACTATTGATATTTTAATATAATAAATAGAGAGGATTTTAAGTAGCTAAAATCATACCTACATCATCATTAAATTGGTATTTTTCTATAAGAAATTAATAGAATGTTGCTTTTAACAGGGCAAAAAAGAACTTCAGGTAACCCTTTTCCAAACATTGGTGCTGTTGATGTTTAATGAAGGAAATCGGTTCAGCTTAGAAGAAATTAAGGTGGCTACTGGAGTAGGTAAGTATTGATTGTAGTTGTTTAAATCTGTGCTGTAATAAAAATGCTAAACATTTTTTTTTTCTCATTCAGAGGATAGAGAACTTAGAAGAACTCTACAGTCATTAGCTTGTGGCAGAGCTAGAGTTCTTATCAAAACTCCCAAGGGCAGAGATGTGGAAGATGGTGATGTATTTTTTTGTAATGAGGAATTCAAACACAAACTCTTCAAGATAAAGATCAATGAAATCCAGATGAAAGAAACGGTACTTTGTTTCTCACTTTAATGTCACTTTAATTTTCTGATGCCTTTTAAGAAGTTGTGGGTTTTTTTGTTTTTTTTGTTTTTGTTTTTGTTTTTGTTTTTGATTTGGTGCAGTAGTAATTAGAATAATATGTTTTTTGTGTTTTGGTAAAAAACATAAAATTTTACCATTATGAGCATTTTGAAGTGTATGGTTTAGTAGTGTTAAATATATCTACACTGTGGTGCAACAGATAAGCAGAACTTTTTCATTTTAAAAAATAGAAAATCTGTTTTAACAAGACTCTGTTTTCTTTTTACCCCAGCCTTGGTAAATAACATTTTTTTAAATTTTATTTGAATATGACTAATTTTGGTACTTTATATAAGAAGAGCCATAAGTATTTCAAGTATGTGTCTTTTTGTGACTGGCGTAATTCACTTAGCATAATGTCCTCAAATTTCATTAAATACATAGCTAAGGAGCAAGTAAAAGGATTTTTTTTTCATTTAGAGCTGAATATTCCATTATATGAATATGTCACATTTTGTTTATCCATTCATTCACTGATGATCATTGGGTTGCTTCCACCTCTTGGCTGTTGTGAATAATGATGCTGTGAACATGAGTGTACATGCCTGTACAGAGATACAAGTATCTCTGAGACTCCGCTCTTAATTGTTTGGACATTTGGCCAGAAGTGGGTGTGCTGGATCATAGAGCCATTTTATTTTAATTTTCTTTTGAGGAACCAATATACTATATTCCATAGAATTCTCTAAGTTTTACAGTCCACCAGCAGTGCAGAAGAATTCCAGTTTCTCCACATATTTGGCAAAACTTATTTTCTCTATTGATATTATTATTATTGTTAGTAGTGGTAGTAGTAGTCGTCGTCTTAGTATTAGTATTAGTATTTATATTTTTATAGTAGATATTCTGCAAGGACAAAAAAGTGATAGTATCATTTTGATTTGCATTCTACGAGAATTTATAAGTTTGAACAACTATTTATGTGCATTATGGCCATTCGTATATCATCATTGAAAAAAATGTGTATTCAAGCACTTTGCCTTTTTTTTTAATTTTGAGTTATTTAATATTTTTGTTGTTTAATTATAGGAATTATTTATAACCTCTGAGATATTAATGGCTTATATGTATATGATTTACAAATATTTTCTCATTCTGTAGAATGCTTTTCAACTCTTGACTTTATGCGGTGATGCACAAAAAAGTTTAATGTAGTAACATTTGTCTGTTTTGCTTTTACCTGTGCTTTTGTCAAATCCAGTGTCTTGAAGCTTTTTCCCTGTTTTCTTTGAGGAGCTTTTGTTTGTGTATTTGTCTTCTTTGTTTTGTTTTGTTTTGTTTTGTTTTGTTTTGTTTTCTGGTTTTAATTAAATTTGATTTTTGTGTGAGTTAAATGTCCACTTTCATTCTTTTGCATGTGAATATCTATTGAACCATTTTTTATTAAATTTTAACTTTTAATCCCATTATAGCTGACATACATTAGAATGTTAGTTTCACGTAGACGGTATAGTAACTCAGCCCTTCCACACAACACCCAGTGCTCTTCCAAGTGCCCTCCTTAATTCCCAACACCTATATATCCGATTCCCACAGGCACCCACCCGTCCTCTGGAAACCATCAGTGTGTTCTCTAGAGTTAAGAGTCTGTTTCTTGCTTTTTTTCCTTAACTTGTTTGTTTTATTTCTCAAATTTCACAAATGAGTGAAATCATACAGGATTTGTCTAGCTCCATCCATGTTGCAAATGGCAAGATTTTATTCTTTTTTAGTATTCCTGGTTGTGTGCGTGTATCACATCTTCTTTATCCTTCCCTGGACACTTGGGTGACTTCCTTAATTTGGCTTTTGCAAAGAATGCTTCAAAAAATAGGGGTGCATGTATCCCTTTGAGCTAGTGTTTTGGCATTTTGGGGTAAGTAGCAAATTGGGGCACTATAGGGTAGTTCTACTTTTGACTTTCTGAGGTATCTCCTTACTGTGTTCCAAAGTAGCTACACCCCCAGTGTAAGAGAATTCCCCTTTCTCTGCATCTTTATCAGCACCTGCTTTTTCTTCTGGTTTTGTTTTTTTGTTTTTTTGTTTTTTGGGGTTTTTTTTTTTGTTGTTTTTTGTTTGTTTGTTTGTTTTAGCCATTGACTGTTTTGAGGTGATATATCATTGTAGTTTCGATGTGTATTTCCCTTGATGATCTATGATACTGAGCATCTTTTCATGTGTCAGTTGGCCATATGGATGTCCTCTTAGGAGAAATATCTGTCCAAGGTTTCTGCCTATTTTTAAATTGGATTATTTTCTGGATGCTGAGTTGTATCAGTTCTTTACATGTTGTGAATACTAACCCATTATCAGTTATGTCATCTGCAGAGATCTTATTGTGCCATTCAGTACATTGTCTTTTAATTTGTTAATTGTTTTCTTTGGTATGCAGAAGGTTTTTATTTTGATGTAGTCCCTATAGTTTGTTTGTTTGTTTGTTTGTTTGCTTGCTTGCTTGCTTGTTTTCCCTTGACCTAGGAGACATATCTGGAAAGCCCATGCTCTCTCTATGATTTTTATGGTTTCGAGTCTCATTTTTAGGTCTTTAATTCATTGTGGATGTATTTTTGTGTATTGGGTAAGAAAGTGGTTCATTTTAATTCTTTTTCATGTCCCTGACCAGTTTTTCCATCAGTATGTATTGAAGAGACTTTTTACATATTCTTGCTTCCTTTGTTGAATATTAATGTATTTATGGTTTTATTTCTGGGTTTTCTGTTCTTTTTGCTGATTCGTATGTCTACTTTTATGTAATTTCCTTGCTGTATTGATTATTACACCTTTATAATATAACTTAAAATCTGGAATTGTGATACCTCCAACTTCGTTCTTCTTCTTCAAGATTGCTTCACATATTTGGGGTCTTTTGTGCTCCACATAGATTTTAGGATCATTGGCTTCAGTCCTATGAAAAATGCTCTTGGTATTTTGATAAGGGTTGCATTAAATGTATAGACTGCTTTGGTTGTTTAGAATTTTAACAGTATTTCTCCTTGCAATCTCTGAGTATGGGATGTTTTTCCATTTCTTTGTGTCATCTGCGGTTTCTTTCATAAGTGTTTTGTGTTTTCAGAGTACAGGTCCTTCACCTCTTTGGTCAGGTTCATTCCTAGGGACTTAATTATTTTTCCTGCAGTTGTAAGTGGGAGTATTTTCTTAAATTTCTCGTTCTGTGACTTCGTTTTTAATGTATTTAAATGCAGCCTTTTCTGTAGGTTGATTTTGTATCCTGCAGCTTTACTGAATTCATTTATCACTTTTAGTAGTTTGTCTTTTCATGGAGATTTTAGGGTTTTCTGTAGACAGTACCTCATGTCATATGCAAATAGTGAAAGTTTTCCTTCTTTACCAATTTGTATGCCTTTTATTTTTGTTTTTGTTGTTGTTGTTGTTGTTGTTGTTGTTGTTGTTGTTGTTGTTGTCTGATTGATGTGGCTAGGACTTCTAAGTACTAATTTGAATCAAAGTGGTAAGAGTGGGTTATCCCTGTCTTGTTCCTCAACTCTCAGTTTTTTCCCCATTGAGTATGAAGTTTGTTACAGGTTTCGTAGGTGACCTTTATATGTTCTCTCTAAAGCTATGTTGTTGAGGGTTTCTGTCATGAATGAATGTTGTTCTTTGAGAATGCTTTTTCTTCATCTGTTGAAATGATCGTATGGTTTTATATTTTCTCTTGTTAGTGTAACATATTCCCTTGATTGATATGGGAATATCAAACTATCCTTCATCCTGGGAATATATTTAACTTGATCATACTGAACGATTTTTTTTATGTATTATTGAATTTTGTTTGCTGTTAGTTGGTTGAGAACTGTTGCGTCCATGTCCACCAGGGATATTGGCCTGTAGTTCTCTTTGTGTTGTCTTCTTTGGTTTTGGATTCAGGGTAATGTTGGACTTAATAGAATGAACTGGGAAAGTTTCCTTCCATTTCTATTTTATGGAATAGTTTGAGAAGAGGTGGCATTATCCTTCTGTTTTGAGAGAATTCACTTATGAAACCGTCTTGTTCTGGAATTTTGTTTGTTGAGAGTTTTTAGATTATTGAGTAATTTCATTGATAGTAATCAGTTTGATCAAATTTTCTATTTCATCCTATTTCAGTTTTGGCATTTTACGTTTCTCGTAATTTATCAGTTATTTCTACAGGGTCTAATTTGCTGGCATATGATTTTTCATAATATGGTCTTCCAGTTGTTTCTGTGGTGTTGGTTATTATTTCTCCTTTGTTGTTTGTGGTTTTGTTAATTTGAGTCCTTTTTTTTTTTTTTTTTTTATGGGCCTGGTTAGATATTGATCCATTTTGTTTATCTTCTCAGAGAATAAGATCCTGGTTTCACTGAACGGTTTGTTTTTTTTTTTTTTTTTCTTGTTGAACACATTTGTATCCTTTATACGTTGAGTGGTGTTCAATACTGTTCAAAATGATTTGACCATATATGCAAGTATGTTTCCTTTCATCTTCTGTGTCTATTTCATTGCCTATATTTCTCTGCCCCTTTACCATACTATTTGTATTACTATAGCTTTTGTAATATTTTGTAAAATCACAATGGGGGTCATCCATTGTGTTCTTCCCTGTTCTTGTCTTCTTTGTTCTTTTTTTTTCCTTATTCATTTTACTTTTAACATCACATGATTTTAAAATCGTTTTTTATTTCTGCATCTGCAAAAATTTGATTTAGAATTTTGATAGGCATTACAAAGTATCTGGAGATGGATTAGGTGTTATTGATACCTTAACAAGATTCATCTAGTTGATGAATATGGGCTGGATTTCCATTTATGTCTGTCATATGTATTTCTTTTAGCAATATTTTGTAGTTCAGTGGGTGTCTTTTACCAGTACTTCACTAGTTTAACTCATAACTGTTGTTTTTCATTTTGATGCTTATGAAAGTGGTACATTTCTTTATTTCTTGTTTCTCCATTTTACTAAGGTACAGTTGACAGTTAAAACTTGTATGATTCGTGCTGTACACTTG